TGTACTACATATTGTTCAAGTTTAGAGTTATTGTGGTTTCATATACATTTCATAATCTAAACTTTCATGCAGCTTGCTTTGTATAAATGTATGCTGAACCACAAAATGGCTAAAATTATATATAGCAAAATAACATTAATAAGATGTTAAAGCCATAAACATTCACTTTTTTTTCTTTCTAAAAATAAGTATCCCTATTTCTACATCCATAGGAACTATTTCTGAAATTATCGACACTATTTTGTAAAAAATAACAACTATTTCTGAAATTATCGACAGTATTTTGTCAAAAAATAAGTATCGCTATTTCTACATCTCCCTTTTCAAAAATCTGTTTCATCAAAATCAAATAAACCTCCTATTACATACTATAAACTTATAAAGTTAAAGCCATTGCACATAACTATCAACTAATTTCAAAACTAAACGAAATAGTAAACAAATATTGAAACCACAAAAGCCATAAACATGCCTATGTATTAATTGTTTATGAAACTCAACACGCTATTTTCGTAAAAACCGGAAATAATCGAACAAAGTTCTAAAACCAGAATGACATCCTCCAAAACATCAATTCAAAACAAAAATAAACAGTCTCCAAAATGAAAATCCGTTACATATCACCAATAAACTCTTATCTCTCAAAAGATCAGCTATCTTGAATAACAACTTTACATAAAACCTTGTTATGTCCTGAACATCCACACCTGCTACAAGTGACGGTCTTCTTAGTCCCGCTGATTTCACCAGCAGATTTAAGCCTACTTTTTTTTGGTCTTCCATATGGAATTTTCATAATTGGGGGCCTCACACCATTTATGATAGTATCAACATTCGGCTTATGCAAATTTGAAAATGGATGCATCTGAAACTGATATGTTTGTCGATAAAAGCTTGCTTTCTAGTAATCATCAACATAGTTGTATACATCATGACTATCATGTTACAACACTTGCAATGCATGAGAATATGGAAAACCATTATGCTGCCATTGCACACAAGAGCATGTCCTATCGTCCAAACAAAAAACAAACCGATTCCATTCCATCCTCTAACTTCAAAAACATCCTCATCAGAACAACTAATCCTCTAATCCATGCCCTCCTTCAATAGCAACTTCATCTCATTTTTTTTCTTTGGACACAAAATCATATGAATATTCTTACCAAATATTCTCTTCTCAGCCATACTCTAATGTTTTTAAGAAGATCCATAAGTGGCATGCAATGACTATTCAACACCATGACGTTAAAAGATTCTGAAAGTGCATTGTTCATTGATCCCCATCTTTTACCAAGAAAATGGGCAATAGCATAGTTCTCTTTCGGCAAATAAGACAAAAATTTCTTTACATGCCTTTGCCCATTATCCTTGAATTATGCCGTGCAATCATCAAACTTAGATGGAGTACATGCGCACGCACAATTTGCCAACAGATTCATCATTTTGTTCTTTAGTCCCTCGCCAACAGCCTTTGGAATGTGTAGAATCGGGAAAGAATTCTCGAAAGCTTTTCAAAATACCATCATGTCTATCCGACATAAATGTGATCACCCTCCCTTGAGGCCTCAAAATACCAGATGATATTGACAAGAACCATCTCCAATTTGCTATCGTTTCTTAATCAATAATATCATAAGCAACCTCAAAAATCTCTGCAAAACAAAAAAGGAAAATGTACTATCAAAATATAAACTACTTCTGAAATCCAATTAAACTTTTCTTAAACTGTGTTTGAAGTATATTTGCAACTTTTTTTTCCTTTATTTAACAATAAAATCAAATATATGTGCACAAAAAAAGAAATAAATAAAGTCAATTGTCAACTACTAATCAAAATGTGATATAACTACTAGTATAAATGTCATGGCACTATTTCGTATAATTGTGCTTCGACTATTTATGAAAAGCTTTTGCACAACAAAAATACAAACAAAAAAAAAAAAAAAAAAAAAAGAAAAAAAGTAAAGAAAAAGATAATATTGAATGTAAATTCAGAAAGTATTAACTCACCGTCGTTCCTATTTTTTGCACAGCAAGATAGAAGTGTTCCCTTGTAAACAATAAACAAATGAATAAATATAATGGTTTCCGGTGCAACTTCGAGCTTAAACACAAAATTGGGATTGCTTGAACTGGCAGATTCAACATACCAAGTCAAGAACTTATAAGCATCAACATCAGCACCATTTAGTTCAAAAATTGTCATCTCTTTGCCAAAGTATGCGTAACATAATCAATATCCAATCCATAAAACTGTTTTAAGTTTGAAATGATCTCTAGTAGTTTAATAAGAGGATTTGATCAAACCTTGTCCTTGATGAGAGAAGCAACAAACTGTTATCCAATAACTTTGTTTTTCTTCTTTCAAATCATACCTTTGCATGTATGCACATTATGCAACTTCCGAATGACGAAAAAGTTATTAATATCACACTTGGATGCATACACACGCCAAAGACAACTATCAGATTTCTTCATAGAACACTCAGCACTAATGCGATTCTTATCATTCTTCAAATACTTCAATTCAAAACCTCATTCAACAAAAAACTTCTTCAACCTATCTCGAAATTCAACACAGCCTCCCCTAAAAACTTGCCTCTCAGATTTTATATAACCATTCAATTCACATGACATATAATTATACATATCATGAGAACCATACTTCCCTAAATGATATTTTTCACTAACAACAATCGTAGAGTTTGATGTACGACAAGATGAAGATAAGCTTTCCATAGGTAACTGAACTATAGAACCATCACACTTATCAATAACCAATATTTCTATGATGGATTTTCTAACAACATCAAGAACCTTCAACATATTCCTGACATCGGCATCACAATCTAGGAGACAAGTAGGATCTTCATTCAAAGCATATCGCAACTCAAACCAACCAAGTCTCAAACCCTTAAACCTAGAACAAATATCAATACAAATCTGATCGAATGTAGAAGATGATGAAATAGAACTAACAATGGATAAACCACCATATGTAAATTGAGCTAGTTTACAATTCTCCATAACTAATGAACGAAAAAAATAAACAATTACAAATCAGTACGCAAAATATTATATGCAGAGTACAAAAAAAACAACGAAAAAAAATATAAAACACAACAAAAACTATTTAATAATTTGTTGCAAAACTAAAACCAATATTTGTAAAACAAAATAATAATTGTTTTAGAAAATCATATTCATATAAAATAAACCAAAAACTAACAATATTTCTAAAACATAGAACTACATCCACTATTTATGAAAAATTAAACACATACAGCGTGATGAACAAATCAAAACTTAATTGCAAATTCTTCAAAATAGTACGATCAAAATTGAAAATTAAAAAAAAAAAAAGAAAAGGAATTAACTACCTGATATATTGTAATTTGAACACAAATTAAGACAAAATATATCAGCCAATTCAAAAACTCAAAACACTATAAAACTAGAATCTCAAAACCTGTGATGCAATCCCAATTACCTCCAAACAACGAAACTATGAAGAACGACGATCAATTACAAAACTCCAGTAAAACAATGAACGACAACGAAAATCATGAATCCAAAAAAAAAAAATCTGAGAACATTCAGTTTCAGGAACAAAAAATAAAATCTAAGAACCTTCAATTGAAGAATAATTCTTACTTCGAAAGACCTAAACGAACAACAAAAAAAATCAGGATTTAAAAAAAATTGACTCTCAAAACCTTCGCCCAGTTCACAAAAATCGACTCTCAAAATTTGCAGATTGAAGAACTCTGCAACGCAAAAACAAAACTGTTCTAATCGGTTGTGCTAATTTCAAAATAACTAAACTAACGATTAATTAACGTAAGTTAACCTAATACCGTTAGGGGCAAAATTGACAACCAACTTGTTATTTAGGTTGAGCCATTTAAGTTGGGCTGATATAACAGTGGGCTTTGTCTTTTTTATTAAATAAACTTACAATATGGTTTTTAAGCCATTTTGGTTAGTTTTCCTTTAATTCAATATAATACATTTCGGTACAAACATTTCGGTGCATATATTTTAGTCTAGCATTTAAATACATTAGTTCAATATAATACATTTCGGTACTAACATTTAGGTACATTAATTGAGTCTTTCAAGTTTGAAGAATGTTAAATAAAATTAATAAATTAAAAAACTCTTTTTTGGTCAAAAAATAAATTAAAATTTGTATGTTAATAAATTTAAATATTTAATGGAAGACATTAAATAAAATGCACATTAATTATTTTGAATTAAGAAAACTTCAAGGATTATAATCAATATATAATTTAACACCAGATTTATTTTAAATTTCAATCTTCTTGAAAGATAAAAAGTTTAAGCCCCACCTTTTTTTCCCCACTCACACGTCATCAAATCATTCCACTCATAATGTGAGAGCATTTTCTCGTAATTTTAAAGTTATCGAAAAATATAACATGTTAATGTGGAATACATAGATATAGGCTCAACAGGCTAAAATTAATTTTTATAATCTTACGATAAACTTCAAGTTATCCAAGGATTAAGATTTAGTTTCCTAATTTTTTTTAATCGTTTATTAGGTTCCGCAAACAAATTTTTTGATGGCGATACTACTTTTTGTTTCCAATTAAATTTACTCGGAGTTTCATAAGTTGACGTATTGTAGCTAATTTTTAAAGTTTTACACTTCACTTTCAATTTGCACTCAAAATTAGAGTTCTTAATCGCTAGTTCGACCTTAAAATCGATTTTAATAAATCATTTGGTTTAACCAAAAGCTTAAATTTTTTTTTTTAATTTTTTTTTATAGAGAGATTAGGCAAGATTAGCTCTTCGTCAGCAATCATAAGCAAGACACCAACCCTCTCCCCAAGGAGAAAGGACAGTTGCAACCAAAACCGCCCACCCGCCCCGACTAAAGCTTAAACATTTTGATCTCCAAACTAATACTAAATACGTAAACATCTGAAATAATGATTTAGATCTTCAACACCAGGTTCTCATCGATGGCATTGATGCGCTGCATTTTATATAAATAGTTTAACTCCAGAATCCATACAAAATTGGAATCCAACTCCCTTCGCAGACCACAATTCCCTTGGTGAAAGAAACTGGTAAGGTAAAATTTCTATACCTTGGTGAAAAAGAACAAGGCAGAAACTCGACTCTATCGATCTCAGGCAGGCTAAATTTCTCTCCTCTTATAAACTAACAACGTTTAAGATACATCTCAGCAAAGGGAGAAAGTATTACAGTAGGAATTTGGACTCTTCAACACACCCCCTTTGTGGCCGAGTGAAAACATGTACAAAACGAGACGGGGGATGCATGGGGGTCGGGTGGGGGTGGAGGCTTTTGTTTAACGGGATAAACATATATTTACCCCTTTCCTTTCTTAGCAAGGTATGCCTGGTCTGCGCCGAGGAGGCGAGCCTGGAATTCAGCCCACTCATTTTTGCACCTTGTTCTCACCTGCATCAGGAACCAGCCAAAGAAAAGTAAGTCAGTCACAATCACAAAAGTTCTATGCAGTTTTTCCCCAACAATTATGAATGCAACTAGCAACGATTTGGAGGCAGAATAAAGTATGAAGAAAGGGTTAATTTACTACTCCAGTAAATATATCGAATGGAAGCCAATAAAATCATGGGCTGTTATAGTCTACATGGTCGTAACCATATGAAAAAATCTACTGCAAATAATAAAAAACGCGGCTAAACTTATATAAAGGTAAAAAGAAAAAAGAGAAAAAGCGTAGGACGTATATAATAGGATCTTATTTTACCATATCACGTACCCCTTCCCATGGAGCTTTTCCATCCTCCTGATTTCCCTGAAAATTGATGATGATTTAAGAAGGATCAAGATAAACAGGTTCTTTTATTACAGCAATAAGACAAGTGTTTGACATAATTTCACGACTACAAGAAAACATGTAGCTACAAAATGATATGATAACCTCCACCTTGTGCTAATGGTCTTTCAAAGGTAGAGAATTGCCTTGTTAACAACTTAAAAATAGAAAACTTATTGAGAATAATCTCACATCAGACAAGCCATCGCATCAAAAGCACAAAACTATTATGCTTCCCCGTCAACACCTATTTCTATTCTTGTATGAGATAAAGATTAACCAGATATCAACCCTTTCAATTTTCATATAATATTCTAAACCTAACCAAATCAAGATACATCCCTTGCTTACTTTTACTATACCCCTATACAGGACAGAGACATCTATGTATGATTTTTGTTTTGGTCATAGTCCATGTACGATATGGATATAAATGTGCCTATACATATGGATTATCTATCTAGAAACGATACCAATGATCACTTACCTGGCCCCCAAGAGAAGGAATTACTTGATGAACAATCCACTGTGAATCAACTACACCAATCTTTTCATGAGCAGGCTGGAGAGACAAAAAAGAGGTTAGGCATAATCCTGTTGACTAATATTTCATACTTGTACTTTAAGCATTTAGTTAGTTATCATTTAGACTGGTATACAGTTGTCACTCATTTTCAAGTTCCTTGGTTTTGAGTCTTTTGACAACAATTGCCACCTTAGTCTCATTACGTTATTTCTTCGTTTTAAGGAAATCCTCTGCAGATACTAAATGAAAGCTAACCTTTGAACTTTCAAGGGAAAGAAGGGAGACTATCACTAAAGGCTAAACAAAGTTTGTCTTTTCCTTTTAAGTATTTTTCAGCTAGTGAAAATGGAGAGGGGCAAAAGACAATTAAATGGAACTGTGAGCTAGCAGGCATCATCAAATGCACGTTTTGGAAGTGAGCAATTGAAACATAACCAGCAATATAAGCAAATAACATAGCTGCAAAAACCATAAAAAGATAATACAAAGAGAGGAGCAATAAAATGCAAAATCTGCTAACCTCTACACATCTTCTGAGAGCAAAATCCAATCCCCATCCATGCACTAAATCATTCTACAAGTACACAACAACTCATTTCATTATCAGTTGCAGGGAATCCTTGAAAAGATAAAACGATCGTTCAAAAGAGAAGATCGTATGATCTGCAAGATCTTGTAACTGACTACGTATGAATAGATGAGCCAGAAATTACAACTGTACACCATACTTGGATCATATGCCATGCGCAACGCCAAGCTTCCCGTGAAAAGACGGGGGCCATTATTTCCACAAATCTGAACACCCAGATGGAAGTGTGAAACTGTTAGAATCATTCTGACTATAGCTTGAGACAGAACTAAAGGAAAACAAATTTCCTCCTTTTCCAGTTACTGAATCTGCCTTCAACCTAAAGTTGTTTATTCAATCTTGCGAAAAGCATAACCATACTAACAAGCACACACTCTGAACAACTTAGTAAACTTAGATTGAATACAGCTCATGTTAAAAATTGACCATGTTAATTTAAATTTTTTTCTAGAAGCACCCAAGATATTTGCACATTGTTTGAGAACAGGCAAACTTACACAATCTTAGACAGTTAGAACCATATGCATGCTCACAACAACATACATGTCCACACACAAGCATGCTCATGGTACATGAGAGAGAGAGAGAGAGAGAGATCATACGCAGCACAAGGAGGAAGATGTGGGTCACTACACCAGCCTGGTTTTTCTTCTGTATCCCTGTTTATCAATCCAGACATAAGGAAATGTGGAAATAACTTCCAATACATGGCACATTTATTGCTGCATGATGATTTCAGTGTCAGTGTATAAGGGGCAATGGGCGTTGAGTGAAAGAGGAGAAAGAGAGTACTTGTGAACTTCTCTGTCACCTCTCCTCTTTGTCATCTCCCATGTCAGTCCATCATTGGGCTCAAGACCCGGTTGAGAGATCTCCAAACCATATTTCTTGACCAACTGTATATACCTGGTAATCATGCGGAACATCAATTGGAGAATAAGGTAAAGGGGAATGAGAAGAAAACATGAATGGATAAAGTAGGACCAGAAACCATGATTGTTAAAAAAAAACGTACTTCTCTGCATTGAAATGTTCTACTCCCAAATCTTCATCCCAAATGAAAATATATTCATAAGCTGCCACGACATCAGGATGCAAAAATCTCTTTGCATACCACCTGCAAAACAATGGAAAGTATGACAACTGGCCGCAAAAGATCAATTCCTAAATGACAATGCAATAAGAAAAAAGACTGCAACTAGTTTAAATTTTGAAAAGCTTGTTAATTGAAAAAAGTCACATAATGAGATTTTTGCAAAGCACCATTGAGACTTACCATTTTGCTTGTCTCTTCACACTAACATGAATTGCCCTCTTTGACCACTCAAACTCTTCCCACTCGCTAGTCCGGCCATCATAGTGAAAAAGCAATATTGTGAAGTTCTCGGAGAACTACCAAATGTAAGACCAAACCTCAGTATTCTTGAAAATCAAATCAATAAATACAGAGAAAAAAAGAAAGGGGATAGCACATTTTTCAACCTTTTTAACGGCTGCATCAATATTCATTTTCTGATTTATACCAACAGTAAATGATACCAAATACTTTGGCGTTACTTTCAGATCCTGCAGAGTTCAAGATTGTCAATTAAAAGCATTTTTCAGACCAAAATTATTAAGCAACATGCACAATTCATAATGGCCTCCAAGATGGAGTGTAAGAGTAGGACTACTACTGCAAGATCACACACAGATATATCCACATACAAACTATTATATGTATGCATACAAACAAAGCTTGACAAGAAATTTCCACCATATGCCTCCAACCAATCTTTCCTTCCAATATCCATCTCCATAATCTGCCCTTTCTACTTAAACCAAACCCTTGAATCCTAATTCATTCAGACATGTGAATACATCATAAATAATAAAAATAAGAATGTTTTGAAAATTAAAATATACAGCTACTTCCACTATGATATCAGATATCACAGACATCATACCTCACTGGGTTCACCCCACAATCTCCGGATATAAAGATCAGATTGAGGAACAATAATTCCTGGGGGTAGTGTTTCCGCACCACGTGGGTTTGTTGGAACATATATCTGTCAGAAAATTAACAAAACAATATGAAAGGACTATTACTTGGAATGTAATGGACATGAATTATGGGTGAAAAATTAGCACTATGAATAAATGCTTATGACCATGGCGATCTGGAATCCCAGGCTACAGTACATGCATGTAGCAACATGCAACCACATCAAATGGAAAATGCCACAAATGCTAGAGTTCTGGGAAAGAGAAGACTGTAGTCGTTCTTTTATCCTAAACTTCTATCTTGGGTCGCAGTCAGGCCGAGATAAGCATTGTCAATAAGATAGATTCACCACAGATGCACATACTCCTGTGAGGCCACCACCCATTATTTGTCTGAACTGATATGCAGTGGATATGATCAGGGTACATCATATGTCATCTTGTAATTCTAATCAAAATAAGGTATGATCGTGGTTTTAAAATATGATTTTAGAGCCACAGGGAGCCATTCTTCCTCTTTTCCTCACTAGTGTGACAGATAAAAGATAGATATGGGTTCTTATATCTTATGTTTGTTTTTTTGGGGGTGATGAAAATGAACATGATATAAGAACAAGAAATCAATAGGTGTGCTATTGATTTAACCTTTTATTTAAAGATAAATAAATTTAGTATATACTACTTCTATTGCTGTCTTTTTACCCATGTTTTTGGAAATTTGCCTATTATTGTATCATACTCTCTATCGATTCTATTGTTCCAGCATAGTTCAAAATGTGTTGTTTTGATGTCTTCAAGGTTTCTACTGCTCAACAATGAAGAAGAGTCTTACCTACAAGAATAATAAGAAAAGAAAGGATTTCGTAACCCAAAATCAGTCACCTAATAGTCAAACTCAATGTATGTACTTAGGATCACAAAGTCCACGAAGAATATCAGGACGAAGTGTATTTGGTCAGACAACTATTACAACATGACAGTGCAAAGACAATCATAAGGATACATCTTATTTATAAAAAGACAAAATATAATCCTAAATACGCAGCCATGAAAAATTGGGCATAGATGAATATTTGCAGCATCGGCCTAAACAGTTTCGGAACTGCTTATTGTAGGATTATCGACAATATTAAGCAAACACACGGATTCCGTCACCAAATTTAATATTGAATTGCCACAATTATAAAATATCTTATACAAACAACAGTAATAAAATCAACAAGAAAATGCACATATTCAGAGATGGAGCACAATAAGTACCTTAGGGACACCCTCTGATCCTTCATCTTCAAGACTCTTGTTTGAAGGGGAAGGAGTACTAGGTCTACGTAGTTGGGTGAAGGCTACATCAAGAGATGTTATAAGGCTTGAAGGTAACCTAATCTGTGAAATTCAAAACAAATCACATACATATACAAGTCCAAATTCTATATAGCCACATACAGATGAAGGGGAATTACCTTGCTTAGAGAAACCATCGGTAATGATACACCAATAAAAAATCCAAAGATAACTCCCAAAATTGTAGTGAAAATAAGCCTGGCACTGTCATTTGATTTTTTAACCCCACTGAAAAATTCAAAAAAATCAAACAAATTAAAAAAAACAAGACTAATGATGAACAGAGAGTTAATGTAACAATCTTCAGGAAGCATCGGTATTCGGGATCATCATGTTAATACGCACGTACCTGCGGTGTACAGTGCCCATTATTGGTGTTGTGTCTGAGACTCAACTCAAAGCTCACACTCCCAAAAAAACCTCAATTGATTCAGCAACTTCTCAGGCCAATATTGCATTCTTCTTCAACCCCACAATCTTCTATCAAACTAAAAATCTCCAAACTTTCACTCCTAAAGTTAACATAAACAATCACAACCAAATCAATTTAATAATTTAACCCTGCTCACTTCTCATTCCTCATATCACATTCTTCATCAAACCCATAATTTACTTATATAAATATCAAAATTAATTCATATCCCAACGTTCGATTAAACAAAAAAATTCTATTGCAGCATACGAGCCTAATGAAAAGGAAAAAAATGTAAAAAAAAAAACTGAACACGAATTAAAATTCACATTCTTCTTCGTTTAACGATCAATAAATTTGGGAATCAAAAAATTCAAAAAACACGAAGGGCATTGCGGAGATTCTATGGTTTGGAACTTACGGCGGTGGCCGGAGATCGTATCGGAGACGGAGAGAGAGAATGTAATGGCACAGCGTCTGCAGCACCTCCCCGGCTACAGTTGTTGGTTTTACGTTTTTCTCCAGTTGTGTGTTTGATGAATTTTTTTGCCCGCTTCGCTCCTCTAGCTTTTGATAAACGCACCCGGCTTTTATTTATACTCTGCTTCTCTGCCTGCCACGTACGTGATTTATGCATTACATTTTACTTTTGGGCAACGTACACTACATCTTTGGTGTACACTTTCCAAAATACGATCAACATGTCACATTTCTAAATCTTATTTGATATATTTTTTTAGTTGAGCGATAGCGTTATGGATTAAACAATTAATTGTGAGGGAAAGAAAAAATCGGTAAGAATCAACCTTGTATCAGGATATATAAATATAATTATTTTTTATCATTACAATAAACCGTTATTCATAATCCAACAACAGAATAAAATTATGTGTTAGTAAAAGAAATAGTAATAATTGCGAAATTTAGCAGATACTACTACACATTTCATTTCAATTTTGGTTATAGTATTATCTGTCACGTTTCTAAGTTCTATAGGGTATAATATAGTATCCTTCTCTATTTTCCTTTCATTATATTGATGGATCGATACGCTTTTCAATTTCATTTTTTGAATCGTAACACAAAAACTATGTGGGTCTACTACTGTCAAATTGTAACGTAGGTGCATTCATTATGGTCATCGGATTTGCTTGCAGTGTCGACCTTGGCTTTTTGGTGGCACTAACCAGGCCCTTATAATGCTACAAGAATTACCCTAAATGGAGAAGTCGCGAGTTGCACCATTTAATATTCAATTCTCCTTTTTATTAATTAACATGACATGTACATATCACTTGTTGCATAAGATAGTAACAATGTGGTACGTACAAAAATACGGTATTTCATAGGTGAAGCTACATAGGAACAGTGAGGGGCTGCCCCTCCCCTTGCCGGAAATGAAGCCCAGGAGCGACGGTCCTCCCCTATGCCCTCGTCAGAAAACCTGCAAGTCGTAAAGCCCCTCCCATGGTGATGATCTCGATCGACCGTTCTGCCAGACACCAACGTCAGTTTAGTACCATTTCCCTGTGCGAGTGGAGGCGGCGTTGACACGGTCTGGTGGAAGGCCTCGCAAAGAAGATGATTAGCAAAACCTTTTTAATCTTTACGTCACCGTTTTGTTGAGTGTCCAAGATTTTTAAATACGACTAGCTGTTATTTATTTCTGTACTGAAATAACACCAAATTCTATGCCACTTCCTATCTTTTCTTGGGTTTAAATGGGACTAAAGCCCAACAACCAGAACAAAAGCATAATCCCTCTTTGAATCCTTTTTTGGTCTTTTAAAAATATATTACAAATATATTTTTATTATTAAATATTTACCAACATGATACAATTGTTTGTATTAACGTGTCGTATTGTGTAGCCATGTCTGTATTCGTGCTTTATAATGCTTGAATGAAGGCTATTGTTGCCATTGTTGTGCTGGTGCGACCCTTTTTTTTTTAATAATAATTAAAAAAAAAAAAAACTGGTCCAAAACAATGAAACAACATCATTTTGGACATTGAAAAAAACAAGACAAGCGGCATTCTTTCAATGGTTAAGTTATGCCCCTCCTCTCAACAATTCTTGGCTTCGCCACTGCGGTATTCCTAACATTTTCCTTAACTAAAACATAATTCACTAACAAGTAGAGAGGAATATTTTAGATTGTAGTGTTGATCTTTCTTTTAGGCTTTTTTATTTTATTTTATTTATTGAGGTTGGCTATAGGGTTTGTCAAGGTCATTTTTGTATGAACTTCTTGCCTGTGAGAAATTATTGTGTAGTATCGAAATTCCATCATGCGGTAACTAGTTCACCATTGTTTGAACATGTTGATGGATTATATAGCCCAAAGCACCAATTAGTTCTGTAATACCCTGAAAATTTAAATATATGAATTAGATATGCATAATCATGAATACGTGGAGGAAATCGAAAATAAATCGATTTATAGTTATGAAAATTGAGTTGAGAATTTGTAAAAAAATTTGTTTCCGGAAATTATTATAATTTATGTCGTAAAAATTTAGACGAAAATGCCTTAGTTGACCAAACAAAATTATACGGAGATGTATTTTAATCCTTATATGTTTCGTTGTATTTCTTGATATAATAGGATAGAAGAAGATCCCACAAGTGTGTAGGCGGAAACTGTTCGTGAAACGGAGTTATAACGAAGAAGTAATTAACGATTGAAGTGGAGGGCAAAATAGACATTTTACCATTAATTTGGAAGGCTCCAGAAAATCTGGAGCAATGAGCCATGCCACGTGTGTGGCTAGGATGAAAGGAATAGAAGAAAAAGGGGGTAGATGAATGGATGTGATGGAAAAGAAAGGAGAGAAAAGGAGGCAGAAAGACGAATCAGGAGGGGAAGAAGGGATGGGAAAGGAGAGAAGAGGGGAGGAGGGGAACTTAGACCCTCTGGACCCGTGACCCAACCTGGTTTCCACAACCAATTCCGATGGTTTTTCCAGCGAACCATGTCACCTAACCAATGGGAAAACATTCCCCATCGTTCCCTTTTCCTATTACACCCCAAAATCAAAGATATTTGGTTTTGAATTCGGGAAAAACAACACCAATGGGTGTGGGGGTTCTTGCCATCGATCCTCCCATTTTTGAAACAATTTCCTTCGCTCACCCCCACCTATAACATCCTCTTGAGGCCAGGAACAAAGCCCAAACAATTATAGGGGCGGCGGAGCATCGGAGGTGACAGATTGAAGCCACCAATTTCTAGGGTTTTCGGCGAGTTCGAGGAGAATTGGAGATTTTCCCGGCCAAATTGGACTTGGCCACATGTATAAAACTTGCTCTACTCATTGAGATCTTCATTTCTGTGAAATTTGGTAATTTTTGGAAATAGTTAAATTTTCCGACGAGTCGAAGCGGCTAACCACCACCCACGACGGTGCATGGCTAGTGGGCGGATGCTGCTATTTTGTGCAAATTTTGATATTATAAATATGAATTTGGTATCCAATTGATGTGTTTTGATTATTAAACTCAATGTTGGTTATTTCGGTTACTTGAATGTCTTTGGAAATGGAATGAAAATGAACAGTGAACTACGAATGGCTTGATCCCACATCAAGGGTACGTAGGCAGTCTAACAGGGGTTAGATGCAGCCTTAAATATTTGAGATTAATCTTTTGTTGGGAATTTGATTGAAGAAATGAAACTTTGGTGAATTATTCGAAAATTAAATCTTATGTTTGGTAAGTAAATTTTGGTTATAGATTTTGTGAGTGATTAAGAAATTTAAATAAAGAATTGTGATTAACGGTAGAAAATTAAACAAGAGTTAAATTTTTGGCCTATCACCGAAATTATTTTCCGAGATAAAATTTTAGGGTTGGAGCGTTACAAGTTAACTCATATTATAATACGTAGATTGGTTATACCATGTGGCTATGTGTCAAATATAGACTAGTTTCTGTTCCACCGGGCCTTAATTCAAAAAGACGTGGGAACTTATATGAAACCAATATCGCCACTTAGTATTACCATATAGTAATATTTCTCTTCACTTGCAATTAAGGAGTCTTAAGTTTGATTCTCATGAATGTCAAGTTCGCTACCAATTTATTTTTCCACCGCTTAATATGAAAATGTGACACATTCCATTTTGAGAACAGTGTTTACCAAGGGTGGTTCGATATGGGATCCCAAACTGAAAATGGGATCTCGAATCCCAAATTGAAAATTTTTGGGACGGAAATTTGAAAACCAATCTCGAACCAAAATTTCTGTATTCCCAATTTTCGAAATTTCCAAAATGTTTTCAGTATTTCGGGATAGATCGGATCTGATATTGGGTTTTGGCTTTTGGGTTGAAATTTGAGATTTTTTTTATGTGGGCTAAATTTTGGGTTTTTGATCTAAAATTTTGTCCCTCAATTTCATATCAATTGAAATTTAAGTTTTTTACCTCATTTTAATTTTGAAATTTCATACCAATTAAAATATCAATTCATTCATACCAAGTCAAATTGATGTTCCAAAGTTTCAAACTACTTAATTTCATACTTTTATTTCTAATATAGTCTACTGTCAAACGACTTAAATTCAACATTCAACATGCATGCAACCAAAATAAATATATATATTTTTTCGATTTGGTTCGGGATTTCTGAACCATTGAATATGTAATCCCGATTCCCGTACCGAAAGGTTTGGTCAGGATTCCAAAAATTTCGGTATATTGGTTTGGAAATTTTCGGTATGGGATCAAGAATTTTTTGGTTTGGTTTGAGATTTTCGGGAAAAAATTCCAACCCTAGAGTTTACATTAATTGAATAATCTTTTCCTTTGCTTACAAAGTTAAATACAAGCCAATTTTCGGCTGCATTACAACATTAGCAACACAATCCCAATTTCCCTTGCCAAAAATCTGTTTTTCCTCCACTCACCCAAATTGTTCTCAGCACCAACCCCACTCACATAAAGCTTAAAAGAAGGGACAAAAAAAAAAAAAACAGAAATTACAGAAAACGTTTGTTTTTGTGTATAAATAAAGAATAATCAACTAACAACAATTCAATTTTTAAAATTTGGCACACCTCGATGGCAGACCTGTTTGATGATCAACCATCACTATCTCGGTGGCATTATTGCATCCAATCACATCCTGCCCCAACTTTGCCCCGGCTGCCTTTAGGCCTTTCAGAGAGACTCGTTGGTTGAAGAGATTCAAAGATGGCAGCCTTGATGCTGGAGGCAATTTCCCACCTGGCAAAAAGTTCCTAAAGTCTTCCTTCAACAATGGCACCTCAAAATCTGATTTGTCATGCTTCACCACATTGTCCTTGGCACTGATATGTGCCCCGGGTTCCATATGATTAGTCGAAAAGCTTGCCTGGTTCGGGAAGTTCGGATAGAGACTGACGTACCCTCTGAGGTACATCATGTCTATGAGGAACTTTTTCCATGAAGCTTGCCATCCATTAGTCCTGGACTTGGGTATTTGAACCGGGTTTTTCTTGGCGTCTTCGGTGAATCTCATGTTCATGTAGACATAGAATTCTCTCCATTGCTTGGGGAAGAAGACTGCACCCCAACTGCAGGGTAACTGA